AAAGAATGACCACTGCCATTCAGTCCTGGACTGCCAATAAGATAGAATGGTCAGTTTGCTGCCAGCAGTGGCCAAAAGCCACTCTGTTGTGAGCATCAGATATCTAGAATAGTGCTCTGTCGGTTCTTCAAAGAGGTGCCTGCACATTCTACTTATCTGATACTTAAAGTCATTTTAGAAGTTTCATCAATGTGATTAGTTTATCTCAATTAATAAAGGATTTGATCATTATGTCTAGGGTGAAAATTATTTGTGACACGCTATCACTTTGGGGTGCCAATGTGTGCCCCCTATGCAGCTTTATGCCTGGAATGTGGCCAGAACATGTTGATAACTAAAGCATGGCTAATTACAATTAAGTATTGCCTTTGCCTTCTTTTCAGTTCGGACCCTTCTAGTTACACCTATCAGCTTCTACTGGAATCTAATGACTCTAACTGGATTACCTATATAGAATCCAAAATTAAATCCCTGGATATCACCTTAGATTCCTTACTCCTTACTTCCGAATCTGAGGCTTTTTCAATTATAAGAGCCAATCTACTTTGTTCTGAGCTACATTCACTGTATAATGCTGCTAATAAAACCTGTTCACCCCTGTATTTTGGAATATCTCCTAAAGTTGACCAAGCTGCCTCTTACCTGTACCAACTTCACACCCCCAAACTCCGTAGAGCCCTCTCTTTGCCTAGATTCAATGTATTACCTTCAGCCTTATTATCTGGCCGCTTTCAGGTTGTGCCCTTTTCTGACAGATGTTGTCCATGCACAAATGATAATATCGAAATGATTTCCCATGTCTTGTTGCAGTGCCCCTTCTACCATGCACTACGACTGAAATTTCTAAATTTTATTTTGGCTCAATTAGAAGAATATCCTGATTGCTTAAAGATTCTTATTCTTCTTGATAATCCAAACCTTGACATAACAGAAACTGTTGCTAAATTTCTTTTTGGTGCCATTTCTATTTGCCCTTTATTTAATTGATGGGTATACTTACTTGGTAATTCCTTGTTTCTGTATTTTGCAAGTATTATTCTATGCTGTGGTTGTTGTTGGTGGTGGGTTTTTTGTATATGGGTTTGCAAGGGTTACATGCCAATAAAGGTAACTGGACTGGGCTATCACTTACAGTGGTCAGAGAAACATCCAGTTTTCAAAATAATTTGCCCTGTATTGGGATGATAGAAGTAACTGTTTCCACCTAAATATTTCAAATAAGCACCTAATAAAGATTTTCTAACTTTTGAGAAGATACATGGGTAGAAATCAACCCCCCAAAAAATCCAAACTAGGGATAAATGTGAAAGATACAACAAAAATGGAAACTGTAAACATTTTCCTATTTTTAAATTGAAAAGCAAGATGAAAAACAAGATCCAACAATCTCTTCTGCTGGCGAAAAAGCAGATATTGGGTCCCCTCTGTCCACCAGAAAGACTGTCCTGGAGGTCATGGGACCTGCCTGGACATTAACACCAAACCAAGTTCAAGTAAAAGTAACGTGCTGGATTGTATTGAAGAAGCCCAAGAAAAGAGTTAGTGAAGTAGATCTTCCCCACCTCACTCTTCTTCCTGAAGGAAAGTGAGATAAAAATGCACTAAGATAAATGAACAAATAAAATGCAGAGAACAATCAGCTCCACCATGTCATCACTGGTGTCCAATGATAAGAGATCTGAGTCATTTTGTTTTCAGATGACAGAATAGATCAAGGATTATGGATTTTCTAAAGGAAGGTAGATTTATTACCAGGAATGAAATGAAGTACAAAATGCAGAACCGCTTTCTGTCAGTTTTTCTGTACTTATGAAACAGACATCAGATACATGAAATTCTGAAGAATTCTGATATAACCATAAATCTCAGAAATCTGGAAGGACTTTTAGCATTTTCAATTAACTGTAAATGATTTTTCTCAAGAAGGACCAGTTCAATTGAGAGCTTTTATATATTGGTACATCAATAGCAGTACAGTTCATTTTGGAGGAACTATGGCAATACATAATTCTTGGAGATAATAATCCCAGTGCATACAGTTGTTGGTGGAACTGTAGTACTGTAATTTTGTACTGGGTTAATTTAGCAAAATATGCTATTAAGCTCACTGGTAATACTTTGAGCTATCTAAAGTCATGTTTTGAAAAAGTTAATGTAAATGTAGGAAATCTGTTGAAGAGACAGGATTGATTTAAGTCATCAATCAAATCACTGAGAAAGAAACAGTAATGTAAATCACTGCTTTAAATCAATATTTTATGTTTATTTAACAACAGCTTATCTAATAGAGGTGCATATTGTTTGTTATAACTCAAAGAATGTACTGATTTTATGCAATTTGAGATTTTACACCACAGAGATACACCATAATTTTCATAAATATATGTTACAGAACAATCCTAAACAGAGGACTTAGCCTTAACAATGAACCTAGAAGGACTTTGTTTAGGATTGAAAAGTAAGTATTGTTTATTTTAGAAAATGATTGACATAAGAAGAGCCCTGCTGGATCAGACCAGTGGTCCATAGTGCAGCTTCCTGTTTTACACAGTGGCCAACCAGTTCCTCTGGAGGACTAACAACAGGGCATAGAGGCCAAGACCTTCCCCTGATGTTGTCTTCTGGCACTGGGCTTCAGAGGTTAGTGCCTTTGAATATGGAGGGTCCCCTCAGTCGCCGTGGCTAGTAGCATGGATAGACCTATCCTCCATGACTCTGTCTTATCCCCCTTTTAAAACCATTTATTCCCATGGCCATCTCTACATCCTCTGGCAGTGAATTCCACATTTTAATTGCTCTGTGTCTAAACTATTTCCTTATGTATAATACATGACTTTCTTTTAGATAACATAATGCTTGGACAGGCAGGCAGGGTCTCTTTTATAGCCTGTAGATATGATTTTGTGTGGAGATGTGCTGGTTGGAATCAACACAAGAAGGGATTTTATCGGACTTCCGGTTGATGTCGGCACACTCATGGACTCACCTCCCGGACCTCCTACGGAGGGAGGGGGTGAGCAGGCTCGTTAACCCCCCCAGGGGCCCAGCGAAGGGACCCTGGCCAAGGAGCTTTGAGGGGGTAGCCTCTTTGATGGCTGAAAGCTGGAGAATCGAGGTTCTCCCTTGCTCCAGTGGTCCGTCTGGCCGAGAGACCGAATGGTACAAGTGAAGCTAACCAGATCAAGCGCAGGAGATCGGGCGTGAAAAATGGTGAAGGAAGCGGGGTCGGAAGACCAATTATGAACGTGAGTCAACCGAGAAACGTATTTTAAAAGAAAAGTCCTCCCTACCCTACGCGGCGGAACGGCAGAAGCGAGCGTGGAGAGACGTCTCCTATGCGCATAAATCATTGTGCAAAGGGGGGGGGAGCGGAAGAATAAATGTGCGATTGCCCAAAGGTACTCACCCATTCGAGCTATACAGTCAAGCGCATATTCAGAGACTTTTTAAAAAAATTCACGAAAGTAAACAAATGAAAAAGATGGCGGGGAAGAGGGACAGAGACAAAGAGAAATTTTTTAAAACGAAACCAGAGTCCCCGAAGCCGGAAATGACCAGTGAGACGATGAAGGTGATGGCTCAGGTCATGCGCCCTCTACTGGAACAGCTAAATGCCTTTAAAGAGCAGATGTTTGTACTAACAACGAATATTACTGTGCAACAAAATCAGCTGGCAGTGGTAACAACAAGTATCACTGCTCAACAAACGCAAATAACGGACTTGATCCAAGTAATGAAGCAGGATGCTGAGAAAATAAAGGAAATGGCTGAGACAACGCAGAAAGTGAGGAAGAAAGTGCAAAAATTGGAAAAGAAAACTGGTTTTTTTGGAAGATCAGATGCTGCAGGTGCAAATGGATAAGGCCAACATGGTCCTGCACTTTCAAGGGGTGCCAGAGAATAGAGGAGAGAATCTTAAAGAACTTATGGGTGAGCTACTCGCCCCAGTAACAGATATAAAGGCGGAATTATTACTCAACGACATGGATGTGGCCTACAGGTCATATTCAGGATTTATAAAGAAAAATAATCTGCCTGGGGAAATTGTAGTAAGATTCTCGAAGAGGCACGTCAGGGATGCTGTGACACCCCTGAAGGTGGGGGAGAATGCTGTCAGAAAGCTAAAGGATATTCCATTTGAAGTAAGGCAACGTAGAAAGAAATATAAAGAACTTGTGCTCTTCCTCCAAACAAACTCAATTGGATACAAATGGCTATTTCCAGAAGGAGTAACATTTAAGATCAAGGAGAAGAAGGTAAAGATTGACTCTGTTCTTAAAGCTCAAGAATTTCTAAAGGAGCAGCTGGGAAGGTCAGAGGACGAGAAAAAAGAAGAGGATGGCAGGTCCAGCGGTGAGCTGGAAACTGGTTCATCTGGCGAGGACTCTTTGTCTGAGCAGGGGGCTGAAGGACTCTGAATTGTGCCTTTGAGAACTTTGGTTCCAGGGGATGAGGGGGGGCACTGTTATTGGGCAATTAAATGTAAATGGGGAGGGTTAAAAGTTTTAAAAGTTTGACACAGTTTATAAAAAGTACAAAGATGAAAAGATTGGATGCAAAAAAGCTAGTTGGAGGATCTCCTCTCTTGGGTTTTTAGTCAGTAGTGGGTTCTTTACTTTCTCCCTTATATGTAGTTTTTCCCCTTCCCTTTTCTATTGTAGTTTTTTGTAGTGTTAAAAAAATCAATAAAAAATTCCCTCCGGGGGCTTAAAAAAAAGAAAAGAAGGGAATTTATCTTTCCATTGTCCCTTTACGCTTCATTTTGCTCTTTCTCTTTTGTCATGTCATGCTGTTGCCATGTCACTCCTCCATTGTCATGCCTTGCACTTTACCACCCCATCCCACAAAAATAAATAGTTTCAACCCAAAGCAATGGTTGTTGAGAGAGAGAGAGAAAGAGAGGCATATCATCTTTCTGATGGGGAGCAATCTTTATATGCCTCATCAGCTTTGTACAAAAAAAATTATTGCATTGATGGTTTTGTGTTTTCTTCTTCTAGTACAAACAAGTGGAACAGTACATGTCATTTCATAAACTGCCTGCTGACATGCGTCAGAAGATCCATGATTACTATGAACACCGTTACCAGGGCAAGATCTTTGACGAGGACAGCATTCTCAATGAGCTCAACGACCCACTTAGGGAGGTAAGAAAGTGAACAATATTGCATGATGATCTGGGAGTGGGGAATTATTTTTGTAAGGTTAAACAATTGCTTCTAAATCCAACTGATTGTTCTTCCATACTCCATCAGTAGGATTCTTGTTCAAAATGATTGCTCTGTAAGACACTCTCTCTCTCTCTCTCTCACTCTCTCTCTCTCTCTCTCTCTCTCTCTCTCTCTTTCTCGCACACGCACGCATGCACGCACGGACTAGAGGTACCAGTGGCAGTTTTTATTAAACTGATGTTTCTTCTAATTCCCATCCTGCTTTTTGAACAGATACGCCACTTCAGATTTTGAGTAGGAAAGAGACATTTGAGTGAGTATATTTTGGGTACGGAGAAAGCTTATGGGGCTTTTGCCTAATTCTGTCAGAGTTGTGCTTAGCCCAGGTCCATGACATTGATGCAAACAGATGAAATTTTGAAGGACAGTTAAAAATATCTCAAAACATTAAACCAGTATATTGAGAGTCACACAAATGGAACCCATGCTGAAAAGTTAAAAAGTTTATAATGAACTCAGAAAGCAGCCTGAGCATAAAAAGGTAAAGGTAAAGGTTATATAGAGCCACCCATTACATTCCAAGCTGGAGAAATTATGCTTAAATCATAATAGGTCTGAGCATTATAAACTAGACAAATTTGTATTCCAGACCATGTTGTTATGAACATCAGTGGCATAAGAGCGCTTGTTGATGTTACTTTTCTTTCTCAAAATAGCTGCAAGCCCAGGTTAGCAGTGCAGGTCAAATGACTGTTTTGCTTTTTTAAAGTGAACATGTGCATTTAATTGAAATATCATCAAGTGTATAGAACAAGCAAAAGCCAGAAATGTAGGTGTTCCTGAATAGTAGGACGTCCCCATCTGCCCTAAAATGGTGCCTGTTTTTGAACTTCCAGAAATTCAAAGAGGACTTTCTTTGAGCAGCAGTTTGTAGAATTACTGGTAAATTAAAAGGTAAAAGTAAATTCAACAATAATGAGCTACTGAAGGTAAACAGTATTTACTTCACGGGCATTGTTTAAGAAGTAAGATGTGGAATTGCTCAAACAAATGCCTGAACTATGCAATATATCACTAAGATCTCTGCCCTTGGCACAGAATAAGACAATGACCAGCTTAATACCAATGTTTCCAACTGACTTCAAGGTGATCTGCCACCCCCATTTTCTATTAGGTGACTTAGTGGAAAGCCTTAATTAAAGCTAGATTTGTTAAATGTATAGAAGGACAAGTCGTGCTGGGAGAGATTCAGTCATGGGTTTGGTGCCATCTCCTGAATTTTTTTTAAAAATATCTTGTACCTGGGTGGGGCCCAAGTTGCTCTGCTCACATAACTTGTACTCATTGCACGTACTTAAAAGTTCCTTGCCACTGAGTAATAATGGCATCAGGACCCAACCCAGTCTCAAGAAGAAGTGACCCAAAGCATGCACTATAAAGATCATCACAAGTAGGCATTCCATGATCAAGGAACGAAGCAGCTGAAAAATGTGGGCCTGTTTTTTTAAATGTGGGAACGCTATGGCTGAATTATCTCAAGGTCAGTGAGTGAATCTATAGAATCCATCCACATGCCAAGCAGATCATTCAAGAAAATGAACCAAACTTTCTGTCTTTCTCTGCAAATGCAGAAGAAGCCTCCTTTTCTAATATATTTTGCTTCATCTATTGGCTGTTTTAAAGAAAAATTCAAATACGTAGGTCATAATTCTTTGCATTCAGGTATTATCAGCTTCCTTCACTACAGCTACAGAAGTCATCTCGGTTGTAGCAGATTCAAAAGCCTAAAATGTGCATGCCCGATAGTAAGAAAGTCAGCAATTGTTTAATCTTCTCAAACTAAGTGTTCAAGATTTTGTTTACTGGGTAGCAAAGGTTCATTTCTCCTACACATCAGCAGCTGTTCTTCATTTCTCAAATTTCACCTGGAAAAGGCAAGTGAGCTACCAATCGCCTAAAGATAAACTGAGAAAATGAAATGCTTCAGCCCAGAAGTGGGCAGCTGGAATCATGAGCAAGAGAATGGAAATGATTATGCAGCATTAACTCTAGTAGGTCACTGCAGTTTCTGGTGTAATTATATTGCGATTTCATTTGTACATTTTTGTGCTTGGTGAAAGCATTGCAAATGAAAAAGCCCTCATCAGACACTGTATTCAGTGTGAAGGCTACATCAAATGGTAACGAGAATGTACATATAGTTGTTATGCACAAAAAAGCCTGGTATAACAGGTTGTAAATGTGAAAAATATTGACCAGTGAATGAAATTTTTAAGGACTTGGGCAATATCTTAGAGCCTAATCCCAGGGCCCCGAAAATGCTTCTGACAAGCAGCCACACCATAGATCTATGTAAGAAAATTATAACACTGGCTGTTGCTTTTCAATCCTGTTCCCAATCATTCCTCATGCAGGAGTTGCCGTTTTCACTGCGGCTGCATACTGAGCTGACGTTTTCCATTTACAATCCCATCACAATGGCAAGATCTCATGCTTGGTCAATCAGTGCCAGTTCAGATGTTATCAGCATATATTTCAAGTTAGGGTTTTTTATGCTTATAGTGAAACCTCATTTACCAATTTTTTGCCCATTCATCCAGTTCAGAGAACTCCTGTTGGAGTTCTTCACAATACACTTTTGCTGGTATCCTAACTGCCTACCTCACTGCTTACCCCAAATTTGAGATTATTTATTAACAAATTATATAGTACCAATCATAGAATCACAGAGTTGGAATGGACCATACAGGCCATCTAGTCCAACCCCCTGCTCAATGTAGGATTAGCCTACAGTATCCCTGACAAGTGTTTGTCCAGCCGCTGCTTAAAGACCGCCAGTGAGGGGGAGCTCTCCACCTCCCTAGTTAGCTGATTCCACTGTTACCCAGCTCCTACTGTAAAAACGGTTTTCCTAATATCCAGCCGGAACCTTCCTGCCCTTAATTTAAACCCATTATTGCGAGTCCTCTCCTCTGCTGCCAACAGGAACAGCTCCCTGCCCTCCTCTAAGTGACAGCCCTTCAAATACTTCAAGAGAGTGATTATGTTCCTCCTCAACCTCCTCTTCTCCAGACTAAACATTCCCAAGTCCCTCAGCCTTTCCTCATAGGGCTTGCTCTCCAGGCCCCCGATCATCCTTGTCGCTCTTCTCTGCACATGCTCCATTCTGTCCACATCCTTTTTGAAGTAAGGCCTTCAGAACTGCACACAATATTCCAGGTGCAGCCTGACAAATGCAGTGTACAGTGGGACTATGACATCTTGTGATTTGGATGTTAGCCTTTTTTGTCACCACATCACACTGGCTGCTCATATTTAACTGTCGGACCACCCTTGCCCCCAAGATCTTGCTCACACAAACTGCTATTCAGAAGTGTATCCCCCATCCAGTATGCACATTCCTCATTTTTGTTACCAAGTTGTAGAACTAGGCACTTATCCTTGTTAAATTGTGTCTTGTTTGCATCCACCCACTTTTCCAGCGTGTTCAGAACTCATTGAATTTTATCTCTATCTTCTGGTGTGTTGGCTGCTGCTCCCAATTTAACATCATCTGCAAATTGAATGAGTAGCCCCTCCACACCCTCATCCAGATCATTTATAAAAATATTGAAAAGTACTGGGCCCAGAACTGAGCCCTGTGGCACCCCACTGGCCACCTCCCTCCATTCAGATGAAATGTCATTGACAACTACTCTCTGAGTGTGGTTCTCTAACCAGTTCCCTATCCACCTAACTATCCTAGAGTCCAGTCCAGTATCTTTTAATTTACCCATCAGAACATCATGAGGAACCCTGTCAAAAGCTTTACTGAAATCCAGATAAATGACATCAACAGCATTTTCTCAATCCAGTAAGATTGTCACTCGATCAAAGAAGGAAATGAGGTTGGTCTGGCGGGACCTGTTGGGGACAAATCCATACTGACTTCTCCGGATCACCAAGTTGTCTTTTAGATGCTCACAGATCGAGTCTCATCACTGATGCCTGTAGAATCCCACTGCTTATGTTTCTACATTGCAAAAAATGTTGATTCACCCCTGCCCTCCACTTCCAGATGTCAACCAGTTTTTCTAAGGCACAAGAGGGCTTGTCCTTTTATCCAAAGTTTACTCAGTAGACTTAGATGAGGGACTTTGTCAAGGTCTTTTGGGGCACTGAAGTACCACCCATCTGCACATTAACTTGTTAGTTTTTAAGTTGTCCATCATTCCTATAACTTGATCTCCCATCACTTCCTTTGGAATGAATTCTTTTAACACTCTTACTTTCCAAAGAAAACAGCTGCAGCATGGGTAACTTCCTCATATTTCCTAGAGTGAAAACCAATCCAGAAAATATATTCAGTTTTTTTCTGCAATTAACCTGTCTTTCGGCTAATTGGTTTTCTACATTTGCTGTGTATAAAGTAAATTGTTTGTCTTAATATGTTTAGCAATATGCTGTTATCACTCACTCACTTTTCATCCATCTTATCATCATCTGACTTTGTTTTGCCAGAGCCCGTGCTAATTCTTATTCACCTGCTTTGGGTAAGACTTCCATTAAAAAAAAAAAAGCTGCCCTGTTGCCTTTTCTGGCTTTATTGACTTTACTCATTAACTACTCCGGCACCCTCATAGATACAGTGGTACCCTGGCCAGGTTCCATGTTTTCGTAGGTCCTGGGCAAGCAAGTATAACTGGGGCCCCTTTCCCACTTGGAGTCCCTGTTGGGAAGAAAGATGGGGTAAAAATGAAGTAAATAAATATCTCATAAGAACCCTAAGAACCCTAAGAGATAGGTTAGAAAAAAGTTACAGTGTCTTGGTGAAGATTACACAGTGAGCCTACATTAAGGCTGACCAATGAGGACCAGCAGCTTTCATTGACTGGCAAGTGGTCACCTAAGCCTACCCATGACGCCGGCCCTGGTGGTACCTTACCTAAGCTGCGATATACATTCTATCTGTGCTTCATCTGGTATAGATTTAGATA